ATTCTGAAATTGGCAATCTTATAGATTTCGAGGTGCTCTTTACGAAAATCAACTTTGCCACCTCAAATTTGAACGGCAAGTTGCGGCCATATTGGAAAAAAGCGTCAAACAACAGCTTTTTAAAATATCTTTTTTCTGGCTGATTCTACAATAAAAGTATTTATGTACGAATTAAACTAGATAAAATTTCCTACAATTCCTTAGAAAACCGTTTTTCTATAAAATTGATAGTTTGAGAGTACGGCCGCCTCAAAGTCTTTGCTGCTCTCGCCGTAGTATCAAATCTCTCCATATATGACAGCACTTCGAACTTGATCACATTCTCTCTAATAATTAATATTTTAAGCGAATAAGATCTAGAAATAAAATAATTCAAATATTTTTCGTTTTTTTGCTGATTTTTTACACTTCAATGGCAAAGTAGCTATAAGTAAGTAGCTTGAAGTGTTAAAAATCAGCAAAAAAACAGAAAAATTTTGATTTATTTTATTTCTAGATCTTATTCGCTTAATTTAAATTAAAAATATATTTTTATTAGAAGGAATGTGGTCAAGTTCAAAGTGCTGTCATATATGGAGAGATTTGATACTACGGCGAGAGCAGCAAAGACTTTGAGGCGGCCGTACTCCCAAACTATCATTTTTACAAAAAAAAAAACGGTTTTCTAAAGAATTGTAGGAAATTTTCTCTAGTTTAATTCGTACATAGATACTTTTATTGTAGAATGAGCCAGAAAGGAGATATTTTAAAAAAGCTGTTTTTTGACGCCATTTTTTCAATATGGTGGCAACTTCCCGTTCAAATTTGAGGTGGCAAAGTTTATTTTCGTAAAGAGTACCTCGAAATCTATAAGATTACCAATTTTCAGAATTCCCGGAGTACTGTACCGGCAAAACGACCAAATGACTGGACTATTTGGTGTATTATCAAAGAACGAAAGATTATCAGACTGCTTATTTTTACAAGTAGACTTTTAAATGATCTCGGCAATAATTTACCTGACCGATACATACTGTTTTTATTCAAATATTCTAGTCGTATATAAATTATTATATAAATTTTCTGTTGGAAACTCATATATGTAAAGTTTTGCTAATGTGCAAATGTAATGTATAATTCAATATTTATGAAGCTATCACATTCTATTGCTGCTCTTAATACTTTGCACTGTATAATAATATACTACACTGTTTGCCGTGCAGAATTTATAATCTATCTAACAAATTACACTAACAGCCTGGAAAATGGATTTCATGAAAAATAATTTTTATCAATAGAAATTATGGTGACTGATTTATTATATAATAATTTCACTATACATTTTTACTTCCCTCTTATTTATATAACAAAAATTATTGTTACTTCGTATACTGTGTGAATCATATGTTTTAAAAATATTTACCGACTAATAACATTTGTATAAACAATCGTTGTACAAAATATCAATGACTCAGAAAACTCGAATGACGAACGCTTAATTATTGGTATATTTATAAATGCAGGTGTAGGAATTTAAATTGTTTGAAATACTTACATTTGTTTTATTGTTAGTTTATATCAGCTAATTTCATGTCTAAATCATAGCAAGGCTTTGCTGAAGAAAAAGGTTTCTGACGAAACGTTTTCTTATGCTATTGATATTTTGGGGTTGAAGTATTAAATATGAATTGATTTTAGTTATTTAAACAATTAGATATTAAAGTTTAAAAAAATACTATTTGTATAGAAAATTTATTTTTATACGTTTACAAGACTTGCCTTAGCCTAATTTGATTCATATATTTTTGTAATTTATTTATTTTTATTATTGTGTTATGACAATATAGAGATGATTTGCAAGTCACTGGTTCAGACAATTGCACCTTCAATGAGTCCCAGAAAGCTCTTGGAGCTAAGGACTTCACCAAAATTCCAAATGGTGTGAACGGTGTCGAAGATAGAATGTCTGTGATTTGGGAACGTGGTGTGCACGCTGGTTTGATGGATCCACAGAGATATGTTGCCGTGACCAGCACTAATGCAGCTCGTATTTTCAATTTATATCCACGTAAAGGCTGTATCGCCGAAGGATCTGATGCTGATATCCTCATTCTTAATCCCACTAAGACGCGTGTTATTTCAGCCAAGACACATCATCAGGCGGTGGATTATAATATTTTCGAGGTCAGTATAGAAGGCAGAATAACTAATAATCTGGCATAGTCTATCTTTTTTAATGCAAAAATATTTCTCATTTATCATTATCTATCTATTCACAGGGTATGGAATGTCACGGTGTTCCAGAATACGTTATTGTGAACGGTCGTGTTTGTGTCGACGAAGGCGACCTGAAAGTTGTGGAAGGCCATGGAACTTTTGTAGAGACACCATGTCATGCACCATTTGTCTATGAGACACCACAAGGATCCATAGCAGCCGTAAATGATATGACACAACAGTTGCAGATAGATGTGCCACCGAGCAACGGACACCATGAACCACTACCACCAGCTGGAGCTCCTGCCTATGCAAGGTTAGTAGATTTCGTTTGGTTCATTATGCTTTTATTAATTAATTTATCGATGAAATAAAAGGAACTATTTAAAACACTTCATGAACAATATTTATATCATGGACAGTTTCTTTTGCTCTTTATTATATTGTATTTGTTAAGTGTTTAATTCATTTTCCTAAAAGCTTGTGCTTGAAGTTAAAATATTATTACTGCGTTCTTGATATATGTTCTCTAAAATGATTTTATAGCGGAATAGATATTACATATATTGTCTGAAAGGCTACAAGAACCTCACGCATTAAACAAGTCTTGGTAAAGATATTAGAAATATAGGGCCAATTCTCAGATAAAATAGAAATATTATGCTACGGGTTATTGTCAAATAGCTATGTTTATCCTATGCGGTCAAGCGTTTTACTCTAATTGTAAATCAATTTCTAAAACCTAGCTTCCAAGAGGCACAAATGCGAAATAACAATTTTATCATAAGTGCAACTATCTGTTGTCACTTTGATAACACATACGTGAAGTCTAACCAAAGTTAATAAGATGAAGTTTGTGCCTTTTGGAGGTTAGGTTTTATGTGTGAAACGCCTGATCGAGCAGCAAAGACATAAAATGACTCTTCTTGACTACCAACTTATACTATTATTTATTTTATCCGAGAATTGGCCAAAATTAAATTCTGCTTAATTTCTTTGCGAAATTATAAATCATGTATTGTGGCGGAATTAGCTCATGAGTAGCGTTTCCGACTCACACGCAGGAGGTTCGGAGTTCAAATCCCCGACAAAAAATACTGTTAAAAATATTTTGAAATAGTATTAAAAATAGCTCAATCGTGTATAAATGATTTGAGAATAAAAATTGAATAGAAGTAATGAAGGAAGTAATGGAAGTAAGAATAGAAGTATTGAAGACGTAAGAAGATAGAAGATACAATGATAGATGATAAAGAAGAAAAAAGAAGAATGAAGTTACGTTGAAGAATACATAGAATAGGATAGAATAGTTAGAAATAGAAAAGAATAGAATAATATATACATAGAAAATAGTTGGAAATAATGTTAAAAATAGTTTGAAATAGTATTAAAAATAGTTCAATCGTGTACAAAAGATTTGAGAATAAAAATTGAATTGAATAGAAGTAATGAAGGAAGTAATGGAAGTAAGAATAGAAGTAATGAAGACGTAAGAAGATAGAAGATACAATGATAGATAATAAAGAAGAAAAAAGAAGAATCAAGTTACGTTGAAGAGTACATAGAATAGGATAGAATAGTTAGTAATAGAAAAGAATAGAGTAATACATACATAGAATTGTGGGAGTAGTAATGATTATTATAATATATTAAATTAGAAACTCCCAACAATAAAAAAAATATAAATTTATTAACTATAAAAATATTTCGATATCAAAAATATACATGACATGTCCGATTGTTTTTTACATATCAAAACCAGCCTGCTTGATATCGCCACACACTCCCTGCCCAGTGTTGATCTCACAGTTTAAAAAAAATACAGGGAAACACGTTATAAAAATGTGGTGGGAAAGCAGATTATAGCAGACCAGTGTTGTAATACTGGTCAATTACAAATTTCCATGTTTCGTCAGCAGATCCACCGTATGTGGTGATTTGACCTGCCATCAACTCCATATTCTGCATAATGTTCTCGATCTAATGGGTATTAGTTATATCAGAATAACTTAATGTTTAGAATGCATAATTTATGGGTACAGTTTCCATTTCTGCAAGCGTTGCATTCGTATCTGATGAGTTCCGATCAGAGAAAGAAGTTGGCTCTTTATCCAAATCAGGATCATTGGTTTCTTTGACATAAGAGTCCAGAATTGTGGAATCCAATAAATTATGTCAAATTTTGTTTTGATTTGTCGTTGTCACCGATAATGGGAGGTAGCATTATAAGACGATTTGTTGAGTTAACAGAGAAAGAGAGGTTGAATTGCATTCCAATGAAAAGTTCAGGCTCCAAATTATTTTTTCTGTCAGCAATAGACACTGAGGTCTGGGTATACCAAATGAGTAACCTCGGAAGTCTGATCCAGATAGTAAGTGCGTTAACTATGATGGATTGGACTGGACATACCTTATAGGTCGTCACTGAAGACCAGTGATTATGGTGCTGCGTCAAAATCAATTTTTCTTAAATCTTCGAAAAATAAAACTCCTTTATCTTCATCTCCATCGTCGTGAGTCACCAATGTGGGAGTAGTAATGATTATTATAATATATTAAATTAGAAACTCCCAACAATAAAAAAAATATAAATTTATTAACTATAAAAATATTTCGATATCAAAAATATACATGACATGTCCGATTGTTTTTTACAAATCAAAACCAGCCTGCTTGATATCGCCACAGAATAATAGTTTGAAATAATGTTAAAAATAGTTTGAAATAGTATTAAAAATAGTTCAATCGTGTTCAAAACATTTGAGAATCAAAATTGAATTGAATAGAAGTAATGAAGGAAGTAATGAAGACGTAAGGAGATAGAAGATACAATGATAGGATAATAAAGAAGAAAAAAGAAGAATGAAGTTACGTTGAAGAGTACATAGAATAGGATAGGATATAGAATAGAAAAAAGAATAGGATTTATATGAGGAAAATAGTATGAACATGAAGATTGTATTGAAATTGAAATATGTTGTAGGTGGCTAAATTACAAATTATTTACAAATAAGCTCCTTACATAACTATAGGTTGTTTTACTGCTGAACATTGTTTTTTTTACAATTGTAAAAACGATTTACTCCGTAGATCCCCATACGCATTAAGTCCGGCTTTATCCTTTGCACCGAGTTTAGCCGACAGTACGGTGAGTAGTACCGGCAAAGCTCCCCGTCAGGAAGGACAGCGTAATTTACAGGATTCCACTTTCTCTATCAGCGGTAATTTACTGATGTTTTGCTTTTGGAATGTTTTGTTGTAGTATTGGCATGCAGAGTTATATTAACAATTCGTCAAGAAGATCATTCATTCGCTTTTTTATATTTCTTTATTCGTGCAACTAACTCTAATCACGCTAATTTTATCATTTTATTTAGCTTGAGCACTTTTTATTTGGCGTTGTCATTTTTTGCGACACTAACTTCATAATTAATAAGGTGGAATGTTATTATCGTTTGTCGTTATTTTTGGTAATACTAATCTCATCAAAATTATTTGGATAGAATGTTTTTATATTTGGACATTTTAATTTTTAGTGACACTAACTTCATGAAAATTATTTTGGTGGAATATTGTTTAGTTTTCGTTGTAATTTTCGACGACATCAATTATATAAAAATTATTTGGATAAATATTTTTGTAGTTAGACGATGTCTAATGATAATATTCGGTGACACTAATTTCATAAAATGATATTTTTTAGTTGAGCGTTATAATATTCTGACACTAATTTCATAAAATGTATTTGAGATGAATATTTTTTAGTTGGGCGTTATAATTTTCGGTGACAGCAATTTCAATGGAATTACATGTCCCTGAATATTTTTTTGTTGGTTAATTATTTTCGGTGGCACTTATTTCATAAAAATTATTTGGGTTGAATATTTTTGTTTGAAAGTTGTACTTTTTGGTGACACTAATATCAACAAAATTATTTGTGTTAAATATTTTTTTGTTGGGCGTTGTAATTTTCGGTGACACTAATTTCATAAAATTGCATTTGGGTTGAATATTTTTATAGTTGGTCGTTGTAACGTTTGGTGGCATTAATTCCATACAAAATAATGGGGTTCAATATTTTTATAATTGCCGTTGTAATTTTCGATGATATCAATGTTATAAAAAAATAGGTAAATATTTTTATAGTTAGACGTTTTAATTTTCGGCGATATCAATTTCATAAAAGTTATTTACACGTTGTAATTTTTGGTGACCTAATTCCTTAAAATAGCATTTGGGTTGAATATTTTCATAGTTGGTCGTTGTAATTTTTGGTGGCACTAATTTCATAAAAATTATTTGGGTGAATCTAAGTTCATAAAATGTACTTGAATCGCATATTTTTATAGTTTGTAGTTGTAATTTTCGATGAAATCAATTTAATAAAAAAATTAGGTGAATATTTTTATAGTTAGACGTTATAATTTTCGGTGACACTAATTTCATAAAATTGCATTTGGGTTGATTATTTTTATAGTTGGTAGTTGTAATTTTTGATGGCACTAATTTCATAAAAATTATTTGCGTTGAATATTTTTTGTGACGCTAACTCCATAAAATGTATTTTTGTTAAATATTTTTATAGTCGAATATTTGTAATTTTTTGTGACACTGATTTTATAAAAAATATTTCGGTTCAATATTTTTTAGTTGTGCGTTGAAATTTTTGGCGATTGGCTTTGATTAATTTCGAATTTTGAATTTTGGCTTTGATTAATCGATGATTTTTTCATTAATTTGCATATCTATTTATAGCAAAAAGTGTGTGTGATTGTATTAATTTTTTGCGAAAGGAATACTAAACAATGTAAATCTCTCTGTAAGTTACGTCATTTTTTCATTTATCATTTAGTTGTGTGGTTGTGGAATATTTAGTAGTTCAGTCATTTAAGCTTAAATTAGCTAAGAATCTCTGAATTCGAGATTCTTACAGACTTACTCAACTGTAAGTCTGTATATACTTGTATATTGAAACCCTAAAGTTGTCTTAAAACCTACATATGGTAGGGTGTTAATACCATATGTAGGTTTTGAAACAACTTTAGGGTATCAATATACAAGTATTTACAGACTTACTATTACAGCTGGGTATCTCGAATTCCGAAGTGAACTTACTATAATGACTGGACTCTTAGTGCTTATTACCGTATTAGCTTTTCTGTGTGCAATAATTTTTCATGGTTGATTGATAGACTCAATGAAGTAATTGATTTATTAGTGGTTACATGGCGCATGTTGAAAGTTTTTTACGAAGTGGACAGTTTGTACTCACTTTGCTTACAAATCACAATTCCCATTCCGTTACCATTGTGTTTATCGCATGGAGAGTATTATTTTTATTTAAAAAAATCTCATTGAATAATTGCAGAAGAGTTGGATGGTGGTGACAGACGCTCTTGTATTCGCGTCAAGAACCCGCCTGGTGGAAAGTCTTCCGGTTTCTGGTAAAACCAGAACAGAGTGCAATTAGTTATAATATATACTTACAACATCACACTACATATACACTCACAAACACGAATAGGACAACATCACACATATTACTTATTTGCAATTCGATAGAAAACTCATAATTAAGGAAGAAACGAATTTAAAATCAATGTGTTTCGGAATTTGGCATTCCATTACGCGTAACAGAGGTAAAGAAGAAAATTATGTTTTGGCATTTTGAAGATCCGACTTTTAATAGAGGTATTACAGATGAATTTTAAAACGATGTTTATTATAAAACTAAGAAACTTCATTTTATGAAAATCAAGTTAATAATTTAACATAGTTTTTTTTTGTTACTGTTGCGCGTATCAGAATCACTTCGTTAATTGCATTTTATGTATCACTGAGACACAAACAAAGGGTCGGTGTGATGTCGCGGCGGGAATAAAATTCTCAGGTACACATTGTAAAAAGTAGATGCCAAAAATTGAGTTCAAATCTTTACAACCTATAAAGCTTTATGATTTTATCCAAAGATGATATATTGTTGTAACAGTTTACAAAACTAGTCATGAAGTTGTTTGTTATTTTCAGAGTTTTGGGTATATTGTTTTTATATTTGCTGATTTAGAATCAGTTTTAGCTTTCTGTGCACACGCAGATAACATTATTTTGACAGTATTCTTGATTGATATATATTAATCTTGAGATATTTTTGAAAAATATTGATTTGTGTTGGAAAGATATTACGATATAGTATTTAATTTATTTATTATTTTCAAAAATATTTGTCATCGACCCTACTGCGCGCCCTTGTTATTTTGTTTTGATATATAAGATTTATTGTTGCTTAGTACAGTTCATATATTTATTTATTAGATTATATCATACTTTATATTCATATACATATATATATATATATATATATATATATATATCATTTTTCACTTGAGCATCGTACTAATGAATTAAACAAAGAGTATAATCGCTCGTAAAACTACGAACCAAAATGCACCTAGTCTTAAGTAAGCATAACAAAAATACCACCGCCAAAATGATCAATCAGAAAAAAATCGAAAACATTTGCACACCACACTAAAATCATTATTTATGATCATACCATCGAATCATGGAAGAAACTTTCAAACTACTTTCATACGATATGATCGTTTTTTAGTTCCATGGTTGTGATCCAAATTAAAGGATAATATTGGCTTCGCAGTTAATATTATCATAAGATCAGATTTGATCATAACCGTGGTTCTACCAGCGATTGTAGAGTATGAAAAAAAAAAAAATTAATATTTAATACTATTTAATATAATTTTAACGACTACCATTTAATAGATTTCTACTAGCTTATTGTACGTTTTTTCTATGCTCTTGAAACAATTCGTGATGTACGTGATTATATACACGTGGGAATCAAAGGTCACATTAGATAAATTTTTATAACAAATATTTAACACGTTTTTCATTTAAATGCAGATGTGCCATTCGCCTGAATAGCGCAATGCATTTATTTAAATAATATATTTGATCAACGTGACTATGTGTTTGGGGATTATTATTAATATTGTATTATTGTATTTATGTGTAATGTACAAAATTTGTTAAACAAGCTTTCATACATACACCATCACGCCAAAAAATAATTTTGGTGATTATTTTCAAATTTTAAGCGTCGCATGCATGGATTTTCAAAAATGGAAAGATAATCATATTTTTATTTAAAGTTCAATATTTGACGATAAAAATTATTTTTTGCATCCTTGTTATTTTTTTGACTTATTGATGATCAAAATTATTTTTTAATTGACGATTAACATCATTTTTTGTTTTCTCCTTTCATTTTGATTAATTGACGATCAACATTATTTTTTGTTTTCTCCTTTTTGACTAATTGTCGAACAATTTTTTTTTTTTATTTTTACTAATTGACGATTAACAATATTTGCTTTTTTTCTAATTAACTAATTGACGTTTAATATTTTTTGTTTTTTTCCTTATATATCGACTAATTGACGATAGAATTTTTTATTTGTATCCTGGTTTTATTTTGACCAATTGACGATCAAAATTATTATTATATCCTAGTTTTATTTTGGATACAAAATATAATATTTACGTACATAATTATTACGTATATTTGCATAATTATTAGTAAATAAACTTTTCTCGTAAGTTCTAAAGTTTAATGTTTTTAAATTAGCGGAAATAAATTTGAAATGTATTAATGAGTAATTAAAATACTTCAGGTAAATATTTCAGGGACTGAAAAAATATTTGAAATATTTTATCGCAATTTTTTATATTTTAGTTATAGGTTTGTATCGATTAATTCGACTAATTCAATGTGGTGTAATATTATGTGCTTTTTGAAATTGCTGCAGAAAAGTTATAATATAAGTAATAGCATATAGTTTCACAGTATGGAATATTGAAAATAGTCAGTTTCTATATATTTATTTTGAATTAATTATCTTTAATTTGTGAAAATCATGCGTAAGTTTTACATAGTGCAAGCTATGTCATAATATGAAAGATCGTGTGTATGAAAACTTTCTCTGCACGTGTTTAACATTCATACGTTATCGTTAAATTATCGTAACTATATAAATACAATGTAATGTATCGCAAATGCAAATGCATCGAAATGACGACATTTCATTGCGACACATTTTTAAGAGAAAACAAAATACATTAATAAGTTATTTGTCATTATTTATTAATCAAATAAATTGAATACCAAATTATCATTGCGTTTGAATTATGAGCATTGTAGGCTTTTATTTTAAAGTTATATAATACTATGGATATAAAGCTATAATTGTCATTGTTAAAAGTTGATAATCACTATATCCCAATGAACCCATTAATTTTATTATACTGTTTTTCAATAGGAACAGTGCAAACATAGTTGTGAACTTTCATTCACAAACAAATTTCAATATTATTAAAATGGTATTTTTGGTATTTGCACAGTTCCAAAAATTTACACTCCTAAAAGTTACATACAGATTTTAAGTTGAATGTTTGTAACGTAGAATATTAGCAGCATTTTTATAATTCTTTCTTTTGATGTTTTATAGAATTAACATTATTTAATCTATTCAATTAAATTTTTAGTTTTTTGACTAAACTTCTTCGTCTTCTTCAGCTTTCTGGCGTGCCAGAGCTAGGATTCTTTGTAGTTCAGAGGATCGTGCTGTTTTGAACTGAAAAAAATACGAGAATATATAAGTTAATATGAAAATATATAAGTTAATGTTGGTTTAAGAATGGAGCCTGCTTTAGAAGCTTTATTTCGATTGTTTGGCAAAAATGTCTTTCTAAATCCAAGAATATCCCTAAAATTTCAGAAACAAATTCAAATTATTTTTGGAGTTACAGAAGAAACAGTGACAAGTGTCGAGCAGGTATACGAGCAGGACTGAAACTTCTACGCGCTATTTCTAGGTTTCTCATTTTTTCGATTTCTCAGAAAACTTTAACGTCCTATCGAAACGAGTCTAAATTGATTGTAATCAGGATTAAATTTCTTTCTAGTTGAATCTAAAAAACCTTCAAAAAAGGTATAATCGTATCATTAACCCCCACTTTTCATTTAACTTTTATTGTAAGTGAATTTTTTTTCCAAGTTGTTAGAATTTATTGAATTTTTAACTTTTTTTAGATTTTGTAGGTTCAACTAGAATCTATACTACTGAAAATATGCATTTGGTTTGTTTTTTTTTTTTTTTTTTTGTTTTGGATGGAAATTGTAACCTGCATCTTTTCCTGCTCGCGGTGGTGCATCGGCACAATGCCTGTATGTTGATCTGTATGTACCCGGCATATTATGGCATATATTTTAATGAAAAAATTTAGAAAAATTTTGAAATATATAACAATAAAGCCTGAAAGTTTCGTTTTAATTAAATATTTGTTTATCAAAAATATATTTTTTTAAGCCTCTAAAGCAGGCTCCCTCCTTAACTAGCTGGAGAACCTATTGAATTGTTTTTTGGGCAATGCATGCATTTATTTATAATATCATAGAATCTCTATAAGAATATTATAAAAGACGGTAATGTTTTTAACCAGTTAACTGTGGCACGCTCATTTAGGTAAAACTGCGTATTAAACGCAGTTTTATGCATTCAATTAAATATTATACAATATAAAATAATATACAAAAGTAAGAAATCAAATCCTTAATGATATTCATGGACTATGCAAATGGCTTTTATATGTCGACTTATGCATCATGTTTTTTTTTTTTTGTCAACATTCAAAAAACTTTATCATCGCACAGAAATATTTTCTTATGGGAATTGGCAATGTTTTATATCAATGCATTCCATGGCGGGTAAAAGCATTTCAAAGTGTTTATATTTTTATTTGATTGTTTCATTCCGACATAGCTTCGAAATATTGTAAACATTTTGAAATTTGAGAATGTTTTGTTTTTTTTTTTCAACAAAGGAAGTTTAATGACCACTGATTAATATAGGCATGACGATTATACTCGTTAATACGTGAAATTTTGCCATTTCTACTTGTCGAATATGCTCATCAATTACAGTTAACTGGTTTATGCATAAGGTAGATGAGATGATATTTCTGAGAAGATATAGTTTTTGAGAAGTTTCTTGCAATTGATATTGATTTAATTATAATAACATTACTCTTCTTAAATTTTACCTTATTGACACTTCTTTGAACAGTAATTTGTGACGCCAATCTCTTGCCTTCTTCTTCCCCGCAGAATTCTTCCAGTTTGTCTTTCGGCAACAAGAACAAATCTTCGCCGTTAAGTCCTTTCATTTTACGGCGAATCTGGTCGGAAAATCCTTTAGCTTTTAGCCATTCTTGGACTTCATCAGGGGTAGATGTTTGTTCGATATAGATATCTGGTGTTTTTGTGATGTTGAATTTCCGTTTCTCGCGGAACAACGTCAGTACAAATTTCAGCTCGTCCTGGACGTTTTGTACATCTTCGTCGGCATCTAAACCGCCTCCAACTTTTTTTGGATCTGATTATAGAAAAAAAAACTAAAAATCTATTCTTAAATTTCAATTTAATTTAAAATTTCGTATACATTATTTTCAAAAACATCACTCGATGAATTGTTGAGAATGAATAAAGATTAGAACAGAAAAAGTGCCAATTCAGTGTCGGAAGTTTATTACGCCTTGTTTGCATATTTAATAAATTATTGGATTTCTAATTTTTGAAAGTTTATTTCTTCTTTTTCTTTTATAAATCACAATGTCTAAGCGTTTACTACGTCATTAGTAACTAGAAATGTGTGAACTCCAATTACGCCTAGTATGCAGAACAACTTAAATACATTTACTAATGCCAATTTGTTTCTTCATTCTGAATATTAATTGCATTATCATAACATACTATAATATGTAAGAACACCTAATGATAGTTCTAATTTCGTAATTTTAAATTCTAATATTTTTGCATAATATTTTTAAATTTTATGAACAATTCAAGAATCTACGAATGATAAGTTCAATGCATGTAGTATTGCTACATTGTTTCACGATTCGGAATAATTAATTGCGTTAAATTTTGATTATATGTAAATTGTAAAAAAAAAATTAGTTTTAATATTGATTTCGAATTTTGATATGTAAATACTACTAAGGTCACCATTCGTCCCGGTTTTCAACCTTGTATCCAGGGATTTTGTAAGAGCAATAATTGTTCCGGATTTGGAACTTTTGTCGAAAAGTATAGGTTGAAATTGAATCTTTGCAATTACTTGATAATAAAATTACAATTACCCATGAAATATCTGAAAATTATATATAGAAGGAATATGCTCATATTAAATAATACGTTATCGAATTCAAATTTCAAAGGCGGGTTAATGTAGCCTAGATATTATATAACATAATCGAATAATACAGTTTTTACTGAAAGTCAGTAATTTTGATTTAAAAAAAAGATTTATTTAAAAATACTGATCTTTTAAATAAATTAATCCCCCTTCCCGAATTTGCATAACAAAACGGACCGTCCAGGTTTTGACATAAAAAATATGGTTAAATTTTTTAATGACGTGGCGTTATAGATGGCAGCCCAAATAGTTGCTATTTCTATGTGATCAATTTATTGTTACAATTTCTGTAATAATAAGGTGACCATACGTCCCGGTTTGACCGGGACAGTTCCGGATTTCCACCTTGTGTCCCGGGTTTTTCTAAAAACAATATTTGTCCCGGATTGTCTCGGATTTTCAAAAAGTATAGAAAAATTTAGAGGAAAATTATGAATATAATTTCATACACAGATTAGAAGCGAAAGATCATATACATGTAGATCCATAAATAATATATAATATAATAAAAGAATAATAAAGGTCTTATTTAAAAGTCAGTATTTCTGAGTAAAAAAAAGATTCATTTAGATTTTCATTGTATTTGTTATTTCAAAATCATATCCCCCCCCCTCGTCCCAGATAAGCATAACTAAAAATTACCGTCCCGATTTTGATGTTAAAAAATATGGTCACCTTAGTAATAATGATATAATTTTTATATTAAAATGATGATATAAATTGGTGCAACAATATTGTGTCAAGACTGTTTTCACTTGGACTCATATTGCCATCTATATTTCCAAGTGAAAACCGATGTCACTACTGTTTGGCATTAGTTTGACCTAGGCGGGTATAAAATCTGGAACTTATGAATCAAATTCTATAGGTCTAACCAGTAGCCCTATAGAATAGGGTAACCAGGGGTTAGCTTTCGACAACTAATAGTTTTAATTTTGTATAGTATTTCTCACATGACCAATTATTAGAGAATCTATCGTGGTTTTAAATTTATTGTCCCAAAACGACAAAGCATTTGGTAAATTTTGGAATTAATTTTTTGCTATCTTTATCTATTTCTGTTAATGACCACAACTATCCGATGTCAACTTCTTATTCCAAATTTAATTCTAATTTTTTGAAGATGTTAAATATAACACTTACTTTGTTACTTTCTATTTACTAATTTCAAGTTCTACTTACTGATGATATTTGGTGTCATTGGTACCGGTTCCGGTGATTCTTGTCTGGAGCGCAATTCTCCTACTGGCAACGGCGGAGGTGGTGGAGGATCAATTTTTTGCTCGTTCCCATTTACTAAATTTGTATTTATTTTAATCTATTTCATTAATTTTAATTTTTCGTCTCCCCATCAAAAGCAACATACCTTTGCACAACGATTGTTTTCAAATAATTGCGCACGTTCAACTTGCTTCAATGGACCCACACCTATTTTGAGAATGTGCAAATAGCTTTCACATTCTGTAGGACGATTTGATAATAGATGATACTTATAAAGCTTTTTTTGTAAATGAATCATTTAGCTGTAGCATCATTTTTTTCTTTTTAACCACTAGCAACGAATAATATAGAAGTTTTTTTTTATTATGAAATAATCTTCTCAGCAAAGCATTAACAGCACAATAAATGTTGCGTTACATATAATTATTATTTTTAAATATTTTGTGCGATAAAAATGAAGCAAAAGTTTTTAAAAAAAAATACCGATTATAAGACATAGTTATGATTACAAAGTATTGATATTAACAAGTATATAAGATGGTTATTATAATTGCAAAAAATATACGCCAACATATAGATAATGTAAACCATATATGATCAGGTATGACTAACATTGATTAAATTTGTAATTTGTAAATCTTTGCTTGCATACTAATGATTCTAGTTTGAATATTATACATAAAAGTTTTTAAGCATTAAGGAAACTAAATATCCAGAATTATTTTATCCAAATTATTTTCAGTTTTCATCTCCTCAGACAAAATTTTGATGCCTAATAGATATAAAATGTTTTGTCGCGTTCTATTTACTTCGTATCATATTGCGTTTCATTGGTCCAATAAATAATTATATTCATAGCTTTTTGTATATTATGGTTAACAATTTATTCATATTGCAGATGTTTCTTTTTCATATATTAGATTTCAAATTGTTAAGATCTGGCTGTCGTGATAATTTGTTACATTACGAATAAAAACAAAATACATAATAATTACGTTCATGCTATATTATTTACATACAAAAAATACATCTCCATTAATGGGATTTATGCATTAATAAAATGTTACTATAACGAGTATTTTTTCATTTTTTATAAAATATTCAATGTATATTTTGGACGAACTACTTCATCATAACCTTGCATCTGTTCAATAACACACCAAACAAATAATTATGATAAGCCATAAATAAGGAACATATATAAATGACATTTCTTAACATATTTTAGCAACAAATACATGGTAAAGATAATGAAAGTTTTTGTCTATTAAATATAATAAAACATTTGGAAATCGTTCAAAAATATCTTGTAAGTTTGAGTTTCAAACAATTTCGAAATGTTCTATTAACTAAGACAAGCAATCAGAAAATTTAGTACAGTCCTAATTTCGCTGTCGAATAGTTTTCCAATGCGTTCATTTGAGTTTTCCCAAGCACCTTGCCTTTCTTAAGCAATTTAGAGGGCAATTAACAAGACTAGTCATCTATACTATTATTCACTTTACGTAAACAATTATATTTCAGTCAAATGTTGTTGATTTATTATTAATTATCTACGTTAGTGTTAAATCTATTTTAATTAAATTGCCGTTTAAGCCTTACAAGGTAATTTTTTATGATCAATTAAAATAATAAGTAAAAAAATATTTTAATAGTGATAGAGAAGATAAAACGTATGCTTTGTTTGTTAGCATTAATTATATCATAACAACTTGAAAGCGCGACCAGAAGCCGCACTAAAATTAAGAATATTTTGGGAATATAATATTATTAGCTATAAATTACTAGGTCATAATTCATATGACTCATTAGAATAACAATATAAATAATCATCTGTTAAATCTGACAATACACTATAAACATATAACAATGAAATTCAAAAACTGACATATGAGTAAATAGATTCTCAATAAATAATATCTATAATTTATATAACTGTAATTGTCGTTTTATTTATATTTAAATTAATTATCTGATGTTTATGATAAAAAATTATTGCGCTGATATGAAAAATTAACAACATATTATAATATCTTTGGCAGAGGACATCTTAAGATCTCCCGATTTAACAATAATTTGTTAGAAAGTTTTTTTTTTAATCAATTGTTTGAAACAATCAATTGCATAAGATGTCAACTCACATATCTATATTTACGTTTTAAAATGGCGTATTCAATTGAATCATATCAAAAAAATGTAACGCTGCTATTTCATAAACATAGAATTTAATAATTTTGCACATGCTACGATTAAGCAACCATATTCCAAAAAATATAATATCTGAATTATAGTACTCGAGCACTGGGATTTAATTAAAGCATATTTTTAAGTTTTCACTTTTTTTTAAAATCATTCTGTTAATAATAAATTATGATTACATTACTATAAAAATTTCAATTGATGAATGCTTTATGAGTTAAGTTGATTCTAAATGTTTTAAAATCTGCAAATAATTTGACAATATTTCATACCATAAGACAATCACAAAAAGCTATGCCCGTTCTCACACTTACAAAATTAGCCTACACATTTCTTCTTGTCTTGCGTGAAGATACAGCGATTTCTTTGGACAAAACACATCGAAATATACAATATACAGATGAATGCGGTACACAGTACACAGCTTGTATTAGAAGTATCTAAATTCGCCTTTCTTACCCTGATGCTGGTTGCGAATCCAGTCAACTGACGATGGACTCTGCACGGGTCCTGACGGGCCCTCACTGGCGCCTATAGATGATCTGCCAGAGTCCTGATATTTCGGAAAAAAATATAATTAATATGTATAGTTTAATTTAACGGAAAATGTACATGACATAAGACAACTCACTTGTCTCTGAAAACTATCATCGCATCCACAAGCATGAGGTGTGACTATGGTATGCGGAACGTGAGCTACTTGACCGCGAATATTGCGAGCTTTCCACCACTTTCTACTATCATCTAAAATCTGCAAAGACATATAATGTAATTTTTTGCAATATATCTACAATAAAGGGCATAAAATTAGTTATACCTCTAAAAATTCTCCCCGTACAACTGTCAATTCCTTATCATTGTTTGCGGTACGCGGGTATGTAACTTGAACAACTTTGGCCCCGCGAGCTTGTAAATCATCTGCCCACAACTCTTGCGTCTTGTCCACTCCAGACATCGATCGCTGCTGACCATTTCTTTCAATTGAATCTACTGATATATCACTGAGAGTGCTAAAGTGTTCATTACCGACGGGCTTAATTCGATCGCGTTCTTCATCACTATATTTTGACGCTTCTTGAGCAGCTGGTGAAGTATCATAGTCGTAGTTACTTCCCGCAAAATGTGGATCATGCCTTTTGTCAGGAGTGTCGTGTTCATCTAATACCGGGCAATCCGGTGACCAGCCGTCCATAAAGACAGGATGATATGGTGCTACCGGGCCTTTCCAATGATCTCTTGGTATTAACCAAGCGTCACCCAGTGAGTGCCAGAGTTCAGTCTCTTTGCTGCTTACGCAGTTAATTAGCAAATTTACCGCTTCTCGGCTCAATAAAGGCGTGACAACTTTAGCTGGTAAATCATGATCATAGTAAGTGTCATGTGAAGCATCCACGATCAGCGCTAGCGGAGTGAACAAGAAATGAACTAATTCAGGAGCATTAGGATCGTGAATGTGCGCTTTGAGTTTTGCTAGCAGATTGAAAGACAGTTTGAACTTTTGAAAAATATCAACAAATTCTATTTCCGGGGGTGGCTTAGTGCGCATGGTCAACATTCCGTCACCGATGTCTCGTTTGCGACTCTTTCGGTTGCGTCGTCTGCGCTCAAGCTCACGAGAAGCAGCGGCTGCATGCTGCAGACGAGCTATGAACTTTTCAATATCATCGAAACAATGATTGAGTATAGTAACATCTCGCTCGTACTTTTCGCTTGAAGTAGAACTCGTTTCATCTTGCAGTCCTGACAGGTCAGAATCCGGATCACGATAAGCTCCATAGGCCGAACCTTGCTCTCTCGTCCGTGAATCGGTTACATTTTTCGCAGAAGATGGGGCCATATTAGAACGGTGGTGTGTTACAACCTTACCCATTTGAAGTAATTTTAAATCTTCTACTAGATCTTGTGCCGAAATGCTTTGACACTGTAATAAATATGTGTTCAATTAAATTGTTTCTATTTTTATTCAATTTTAAATATATTCATAATACTCAACCTGAAATATGTGCATCTCCGAGCGCATATTTGGCGACTGGCCGTTATCGGATCCGCCTACTATGAAAACTAATATATTATTATACATTTCCATCGGATCTAAACTTGTAAAAGCTGTTGGTTCTTGAATTAAAGATGCCGGAAATCTTTCCATTACAGACTACAGAAAGATCATAGATTATATAATTAATTATTATTAAATATAAAATTAATAATTATTTAATTAATGCTGAATATTTTTTTTACCCCAGTTTCATAATCCATTATAAGAACCCAGGACCTATCCAGACACAACTGCATCTTTTGAGACCAGATGCCATTGGTTTTCTCGAGTTGCAGTAAACGTCTCATGCCATCAGCTGGGTAAACAATACCTGTATCTTTCGTAACAGTAAAAGTAGCCAAATGTTCCATTAAATAAGTCGGTTTGTTGCTCAGGTCCACGCTGCCTCCTGGCCTGTCATCCCCATCGCGGGAATCCCGTTCGTCGCCGGAGTAACCCCCTGACGTATGGTACGCCATGGCGTTCGCTTCAACACTATCAATCGCTCACACTATCCTGTTGACACAGTAATAATTGAATTGTTTATTAAAGTGCATTCCTTCGCAATTGAATTATTAGTCACACATTAGCACCTACATACAACTTGATATGGTAAACACTGCCACGCCTTATAGAACATACGTGCCTATAGAAATGCGTCTATCGGACTTCGTTCGCAATCGGTATCATCTCTTATCACTATTTTATTAATCGATATATTCGATAATAGTACATATAATTTAGCGGTGCCTCATATTATAAAATAATATACTGTCATATCTTTTATGACAATTGTTTACGGTAATCAGTAAAAATTCTTGACATATGAAATCAGATCGAGCGCGGCTTTAATTATAAGTATAGCGATTATAATTCCAAACGTTTCGTTCATTTACACAACCAGTTGTAGATATATACTTATAATAACTACCGCATTCCTAAAGACAACTGTTATTGCGATCTTCGCATTCACCGAACTACTACATTTTGTGTATGAGATTATTGTATTTAACTATAAGGCTTATTTTGAATAAAGTGTAGTATTCAATAATCAATTATCACTCAATACTCACTAAGTTATTGACATGCACTGAAAATTATTATTAGTCCGATGCGGCACCAATGAATTCTATTGGAATGTCGTCAGAAATTGGAATGCGAGCCACTACTTTCACGTACCAACCTTCTTCAGCAGTACATACAAGCCACGACGTTTAAGGTTCACGCACGGATACGTGAAAACACACACACACACATACGCGCGCTGACATAAATCAACATCTATACATATTTTCACCTGTTGATTGACTTTGTCACATGCTCCACCCGAAATCGGGCACGATGGCTAATCCTGCGCCAGTGTTTTCCTTAAGAAATATTTCACTATACGATAATTTTAGAAAATCACTGTTTGTTTTGTTAGTGGAATCACTAGAAACGCGAAACCCGAACGGCGACGTTCACTTGCCTTCGGACGAAACCTGTGTGCGGCACTAACTCCTGTTGCGCTGCACACGGGCTCGATGTTATATTACACGTTGCCAACCAAACGATGTGTCATAAACTCTATTATATACGTGTGCTGTCGTAGTGGAGACTCGCCAACAGCGAAAACACTACCGCGAGCATCGACTGTGTCCAAGAGCCGGTCCGCGAGTGCTCTCCGCGCACCTGTGGCCCCCTTGCGAGCGGCGGCAATCAATGCGCGCACAGGTGAAGGCTGCAAGACACTCTACCACAATGCAACTAACAACGTTGTCGCCTTCAGATCCGAACGAAGCCGCGGCTGCTGCATTCCAGGGGTCAAAAAGATCCATCGCTCCCCAAATTCCGCACATACGGCATGCCGCGTTCTTAACGAAAATGAAAGTTGTCAAACTTATTTCAAGCGAAACTACATATTTCGCATTTTTGTCACTATAACGGCACGTGCAAATAGTCCGCTGTGTTCCAGCTGTGCGCTGGTAGTTTTCTGAATAATCAGAAGACACAATTCGGTAGATTAATGGATTTTCAATCATAGATAGATAGATGGGAGCATATTATATTAAAAAGAGCATATTTTTTCAACAAAACTGTTTTAAAAATAATATTTGATAAATATAATTAACAAATAATTATATCCAAATGCAAATAAACTTATTTTACACAATAGTTTATTAAAATACTGGAACACAATTTGAAATTCTTTATTATTTATATATTGATAATTTCACCAATTTCGGTTTCGTATAGACTATAGATAAATCATATTTAACATTATTTAATATTTATATATTTATTAACTTCATGTAGGTTATAAGCTATTGTAATCTCAATAAAAATCGAAAATGAAACAAAAAATTTTTGTATATACGTTACAAAGGTTTCTGAACATTTTGGCATACCTTATATTACAAAAAAATGGTTTATGTGTATGTATATTAGGGTGGTCCTTAAAATGGTCATTTTCGAATTTCCTTGCTCCAGGGGCTCAAATGGTTCCAAATAGATAAAAAAAACAATTCTCTAAAAGTTTTAGCTCTTAATATTAACATTTAGATAGAGCGCAATTCAATCAAAGTTTTGTATGGAAATGACATGGAAAAATTTTCAAAAATTTAAAAAATGTTTTTTAGATCTAATTTAGCGAACAAATGAATGAATAAAACTTATTCATTTGTCGCTAAGTTATACCTAAAACATTTTTTTTTAATTTTCAAATTTTTTTCCATGCTCTTTCCATACAAACTTTGATTGAATTGCGCTCTATCTAAACGTTAATATTATGAGCTAAAACTTTCAGAAAATTGTTTTTTATCAATTTGGAACCATTTGAGCCCCTGGGAGCAAGGAAATTTGAAAATGGCCATTTTAAGGACCACCCTAATGTATATATATATATATATATATATATATATATATATATATATATTCTTTCTTGAGCAGACTTGAATTTGATGACGATATATTTTATTTGAGTTTAAAAGTTACTTACTTATTAAAAGTTATTCATGTTTATTTGTGTGTTTTGCCATTTGTGATGGTAAAAAATATATATTTTACCACTGAGCATTTTTCGTCGACGTTTTCGGGAGCACTGATCAACTGATTTCAATGGTTTAAAAAACATTTGATTTGTATTGACAAGTAGATGTGTTGATTAGTTTTTGGAAAAGGCAAGTCCAGCCGTTTTGAAGATACAGGACTAAAGTGCCGAAAATCTGGGCGTCTGATTGGAATGATTCAAAAAATATTTTACCTATATTGACGAAATGAAGAATTGATGAAATTTTTGTTGAAAAAAGTTAAAAAAAATCATTTAGCGGTCAAAAATGTTCATTAGGCATATGCACATAAAATTATCAGATAATTACAGAGTTTTTAATAGTAAGTACAAATTTTGTTTCCAATTATTTGGGTTCCGTACCAAGATTTATGATTCGTTTTTTTTCAAAATTACACATTTTTTGCAGAAGCAATTTTTTCAATATTGTAAAAAGCTTTTAAAAATTTTCAATTACGGTACGGTAGGTTCTAGCAATTTGTCTTAATGCACTATGCCATGCACTATTAGTTATTTTCCCTTTGTCGATTTCGTAAAGATAATTTATAAAAGTAGACACCTAGTAATTCAAGCAATTTTTAAGATTTGTATGATTAAAGTACGCAATAAGATCTATTAAAAATAGTATAGGATGGTAATATACTTACTATTAGTATATTGTGATAAAAGTAGTGAACGACCTTAAAAATTATGTATGAATTTAATAACTCAATTTTTAAGCAAAATGTAGTACTGATAATATTCAATTCAATTCAATAAAGCACTTGATAACAGCGTTTGATAGGAAAATGTCGCATCATAAAAATTATAAGTGATGTTGTAATTGATTTATCTTTTCATTAAGTAATAACTCAATAAATTGAAATTCTTTACAACTTTGAAGTTTTCTAATTAAATGTCATATCAACATATTTCCAAGTTATTTTAGTTATTATTTTTGTAAAACCCTCTTGAGTAGTGTAATTTGAGCCTTGTCAAGTAAGCCGATATAATTAGTAATGATTATCGCTGAGTACTTTAAATTACCACTGAATTTAAAAAACAAACATGAGTTGTATATCATGTAAATAAACATTATTTGTCGCTTTAAGTATAGGGCCTTATGTTACAGCCGTTTAAACAAGTCTGTCTCATATTACAATATTTATTTATTTCTGAATATTGTTTTCAAGAATTTGAAACTGTATCACGGCACGACACTGTTGTGATAACAATTAGGAAGACACCAAATATTGACTCTTCCAATTAATGTAGATCAGCAGCAAACATGGCAAAAAATAGAATCACTGTTTCTTAAATATTTTATTAATGGGTTAATAGAATTGTTTCCTAAATATTTTATTAATAGCTATGAGCAGAATTAAAATCATTTTTCGAATTTACATTCAAAATTAGCCAACTGTTCTTGGCCAACCTATTTAACAGCTTATGGCTCTTCAACTTTTAAATCTTATAAATCAACTATTGATAGCTTAGAGTTATTGGAATTATCTTTAAAATTAATAAAATTATATAAATGTAAAATGCTCTGGCGGCAAAATACATATTATTTTTACAATTCGCGAGTTGAAACGTTTCATCATTAATCCAAATATATAATTTTGGTGAGTGTGAAAACATCAGCTTTTATTTGATCTTCTGACAAACCATCAATTCAATAATTAGATATTTAATTTTATATTTAATTATTTTTTTCTTATGAAATTCCACAATATTTACAAATTATGTTTCGATATATTGAAATATGATGATTAAATTTCAATGTAAATTAATCAACTTTAAATAGAGTTTAAATAATCAACATTGGAATAATCAACATTGGAATTGGATTGGGTGAATTTTGGCTAATTTTAAACAATTCTTGAAATTGGAAAGAAAATTCTTGAAATTATATATATAATATATATATATATATTAATATATATATAAATATATATATATAGTGTATCAAATTGCTATTGTTATTAGTGATGATAACCAAGTATCTGATAACAGCCAATCAGTATTATTATCACGTAAATTATGAATGTTGTAATATGTTGTTACAATATCACTTAATTTTTTTATATCTACTGGATAAGAGTTATCAGATTACCTACATTAGGGATGTGCAATTTTTATTTCAGTATATTTATTTAATCAATGATTATTTAAATAATATTTCATAAAAAAAACTATTTCTTCTGATACTTCTGAATCATTATGACACAATTTTTTTCAATTCGTATTATTATCACGTAAATTATGAATGTTGTAATATGTTGTTACAATATCACTTAATTTTTTATATCTACTGGATAAGAGTTATCAGATTACCTACATTAGGGATGTGCAATTTTTATTTCAGTATATTTATTTAATCAATGATTATTTAAATAATATTTCATAAAAAAAACTATTTCTTCTGATACTTCTGAATCATTATGACACAATTTTTTTCAATTCTGCCAACATTTAGCAAGTCATACTAGGAAGAACAAAATACAAAAAAAAAACATTTTATTATATGGAATTTGATCAATTATTCATTAATTTGTCAAAAAATGTTGAATTTTGTGTATTGCTGTTTCTGGCATGATTTGATGACTCGTAACAAGTGTCGAAACATTTTATTTTTTTTATTTATCAAATTTACTACTATAATTTAGGGCGAGGCACAAAGGTCCAATTTGACTTTGAGCGATTATATTGTGAAAACCAAACCAATTATATCACAACAAATAACACATGTCAAACAAACAACTATCGAACTACGTTCAGAAAAATTCCCAGGTAGAAACTGGGAGAAACTCCCATTATTGCAGAAATGTGTATTTTTTGCTGTTTTTCAAAAATTTGTCACCTAGTCTTTTGTCCCCATATGCGGGGTAAGAAGAACCTGTTATTTTTTACTTCTAAAAAGATTTTACGAAATAATAGCTACATTATTCAACCAATGCAAAATATAAATATCACGGGTACATTTTTTATAGAGACAAAACTGTTTATAATCTTGTTCTGATTTTGTCAGAAATATTCATCAGCAGAGTTGAAATGGTTATTTATTTAATTTATCTTTTGTAAAAAATTAATTTAATTTAATTTTTCATTTATTATTTTCTATTGTTTTAATAGGGTTCAGTTGGTCCTTTTTACCCCACCCACGTGTAAGCATTTATAGAGGTTATATAAAAAAAACTGTTTAATCTAACTTAAAATTATATTAATGTCTCGTAAACTAAAACAACAGTGCTCACAACCAAAAGAACTAACAACGAATAAAAATACTTTTGTTGAAGATTTTTTATTTTTTACATTTATCTCCTAATACTCATTACACATATTTTTCCCTCTACTTTCAAATATTTTGTTATAATTTTTTTTAACATCACTTGTTTTTATGATATCAGTGATGGACCGATTTTACCCTCGTAGCTTTAAGTCCAGCTGCTCTACTCTATATATTAAATCTGTTTCAATACATGTATGTGTGTATATATAAATATATATATATATAATATATATGTGTGTGTGTGTATGTGTTCTTATATGTATGTGAAATTTTGCATATATACATAATTAAATTTGCATTTTATCTAATTCAGAAGCTCCCGATATTAAAATCGCGTGCGTCAATACAAATAGTATCCTCCTCGATCATTACATTGCGTGCTGTTTGTTATCAAATTATCACGTGAACTCGTTATACTGGCCATTTAAGAAAATGTTATTTATAGTTAATAACATAGAAAAATTCTCTATAGCATACTGACCAAAAT